AGACTGAGACAGATGGTAGTTTTTGCAGAGGGCAGGAGGTGGTTTGATAAAGAGACTGCACATCGTGATGTGTAAATTAATCCTGTTTTTGCCTCTAGTGAACACATTTTGCTTTAAAAAATACCTCTGGCCATATACTGAAAAACAAAACACTTCTCCAGTCCCTTTTAATTCTCTTGACCATAATTTTGTTGGACTCAGAGGTCTCCTTCTGTGCAACTATTTGGGAACCACTTTCTTCATTAAATATTAATAAATACTGCATAAATTGGAATTTCTACATTTTATTTATTTACTTAATGAAACATATTTCTATCCTACCCTCTATTTTTAAAAAATAAGAATTACAAATTCTAGCCTGCCTTTAAATGCAGAGGTTATTAAAAGGTGCCACCTGTTGATTAAGATAGGAGTATTTGAAAAGCACCTGACCATCATGTTGGCTGCAGGATTCTGGTAAATGTAGTGTAAAAAAGTAAGTTTGTAATGCTCTGAATTACAAGTTTTAGAGTGCTGGAGACACTGGACAAAAACAAAATAAAATACAAAGTCTGAATTTCAATCCCAGTTGTCTTCACTCTCAGGCCTGTATGGAAACAAATATTGTAGCAGTATTAAGACTAAGGGCCAATGCATACTAGCCTATAGGGCCAGCCTGGGGGTGGAGTTGTGGAGGGGTGACCACACACCGGCTGTCCCAATGACACCCCGATGCCACACGCCCAACTGCAAGGCATGTGGCGTCAGGGTGCCCCATTAACGTAGCGTGCACACATGCTGTACAAAAGGGGCACAAAAGAGCCACAGCGGTGGCTCTAAGGGCAGCTTTTTGCCACCCCAAAAAGGAATGGCATTTGCCAAGTCTTTTGGAAGTGGCAAAAAGCCAGATCGGGGCTGTGGCGTGTGGGGGCCGCGGCCCCGATCTGGCGCTTCCAAGGGAGGCATAGAGCCACCCCTTAGGAGCCAACTGCATCAGTCCTGAGAAGCTTATCGCACTCTTAAATAATACAACTTACCTGAACCGGTTGAAAATTTAAAGTGGGCGGCCAAATTGCCGCCCAAGGTCCAGCCCCGCTCCTAGGGGTGCTCAGCGCACCTCTTTTCGAAGCCGAATTTTCCAGCTTGACAAAATGGCCACCAGAATGGCTCTGGGAGCGGGGATGGACCTGGGATGGACCTGGACAGCAATTTCAGTGTATAATATCAGGATGCTGCCCGCTTTAAATTTTAAACCGGATCAAGTAAGTCATATTATTTAAGACTATGATAAGCTTCTAAGACAAAGAAGTTGTAGCATAAGCTTTCAGAGACTAGCTTTGCTCTATAATTCCCAGAATTCCATAGCATTGAGCCCTGGCAGTTAAGGTGCTGTCGATCTGGATTATTTCTGCAGTGAGGATGCAGCCTAAGTCTACTTCATCAGATGCATGGAGTGAACTCCCTAGGGATAGACCTTTACAACTATGAATGAGCAGGTTGTACTGTATATGTGAACAGCATTAGAAATGCACAACTTGTGGGTATGGTGATGCGATAACAAGTCCAGTTTTAACATGATCAGGGAATCCTCTATGTCAGGGGTAGGCAACCTAAGGCCCGGGGGCCAGATGCGGCCCCCCAAGGCCTTCGGACCGGCCCCAGGCCGGTCCTGCCGCCGCCGCCGCCACCTGCCATGATTATATTGATTATTGTTGTTATTACTTGTTCTTGGGGTTCTCTTGGCAAAATCTCCACAGGGGTTTTGCCATGGCTTTTCTGGGTTTTTTGTTATTTTTATTTTTATTTATTTTTTATTTTTTTGGTGCTTCGGCCCCCCAGTTGTCTGAGGGACAGCAACCCGGCCCCCGGCTCAAAAAGGTTGCCTACCCCTGCTCTATGTAGAATGGGCTGGAAATCATGCGGTTCATAGGTTACTTACAACCACTAGGGCCATTTTTGTGGCCCGTCCTGGAGCTCTCCCTCTCTCTCTTATACACACACACTCATAAAAAGGTAATTTTGAATTGCCACTCCCAAAAACATCCAGGTATGGCAATCCTTATTTAAAACAAGGTGTCTCCCCCTTAACTTGCTTTGTCCACAGTCCTACTGCGTGGTGGTGGTGGTTGATTTTAAAACAAAGCTGGAAGTGGTCTTTTTGCTAACTCCAGCTTTGTTCTCAGATGGCTGGTATGGCCCATGTGGGGATCCAATGATGGGGAAAATGGCACCTGGATCCTCAGACTTGCCTACTCTACATTATTGGCTATAGTATCACTGAAAGAGAGCACTACACACAAAGCAGGTGGAGAAATGTTTTATCCTTATCTATGCAGAAGTGCCTCCAACTTGCAAATCATAGAATCATAGAGTTGGAAGAGACCACAAGGGACATCCAGTGCAACCCCCTGCCATGCAGGAACTCAAAATCAAAGCATCCCCGACAGATGCCATCCAGCCTCTATTTAAAGACCTCCAAAGGAGACTCCACCAGACTCCAAATCTTTGGATCCCAGCTGTAGTTGGCAAGACCCACATATCCTTCACAGGAAAGAAAATGGGACACATGTGGTCAAGAAACATCAGAGTGTGGGTCAAGATGGCAGAAGTTATTAATGAAAAAGAACACAGACATTAGGAGAGGTTGCCTGCTGGGGAAGGCAAGATTTCACCACCTCCTCTTCTTTTCTTCTTCCTCTCTCCCCTTCCTGCTGAGATAATTGAGTGCAAGATACGTTTGCACTTTGCATTCAGTTTGCAGCAACTGAAGTAAGCTGAGGACAAAGGAGGAAAGTGGAAGGAGAAGAGAGAAACTGGGACATTTTGAAAGCAGCTGAAAAAATGGGATGAGAGAGGATTAATTGGGATTGCCCTTGCCAAATCAGGACAGTTGGAGGACATGAACCCTTAAGGAAACTTTTCCTTCTGTAGAATGCAAGGATGTCCACATTGTCGACTTTCCGCCTGGACTTCAGAGTGTCTGAGGGGGGGTTGCAGACTGCCAGAAATAGTGCAAATTGAGTCCACTTTTAGGGTTAGGGTTAGGGTTAGGGTTAGGGAATCATGGGAACTGTATTTTATTGTGGCACCAGAGCTCTCTGACAGAGAAGGCTCAGTGTCTCAGAAAAAAAACAATTCTCATGATTCCCTAGCACTAACCCTAACCCTAAAAGTGGACTCAATTTGCACTATTTCTGGCAGTCTGCAACCATCCCAAATTCTTCCACATCCCCACACTTTAACCATATCCCCATCCTTTCCAGAGTACCAGACCTTTCTGCCTGCAAAAACCTCCATCTCCCACAAAACAGCCTTCTAAATGCATAGACTGTCATGTCTGGCATTGGGCCAGCTATGAAGTGACACAGGTCAGACAGGAGACCCCAGCCATCCAGCTCTCAGACTGAGTGATGTTTTAATGAGTCCAGAAAAAGAAAGGACGGTGAATGGAGCTTCACGTCTCTACAGTGACTGTCCTGTCTGTTTTCAGTCTGAAGCTGCCAATAGATCATGTTCTGGCCTATTGCCATTAGAATAATAAATGTGAGAGCAGTGAGGGGAGGGGAATGTATTAAGTTTCCATCCAGTCTGTTTTTCCCTTATGGGCCAGGAGATAGTTTTTCACTGTATGACTACACAGTCTTATTTTTATCCCAGAATGCCTGCTTTGAATGAAGGATTTTAGTTTATTGTTTGGAAGAGTGTCCAGTACATATATATTCTCTTGGGGCTAAAATCCAGTCACTGGTCTCAACTAGAGGAGATCCATTGAACCAACAGGATTCAAGTACATTTGCCCAGGTTGAGTCTCCCTTATCCAAAATGCTTGGGACCAGAAGTGTTTGGATTTCAGTGTTTGTTGTGGGATTGTTGGTTGTTGTTTTTTATATATATATTGGAATATTTGCATATAGATAATGAGATATTTTGGAGATGGGGTCCAAGTCTAAACATGAAATTTATTTATGTCTCATGTACACCTTATACATATAGCCTGAAGGTAATTTTATATACAATATTTTAAATAATTTTGTGCATGAAACAAAGCTGGTGTACATTGAACCATTAGAAAGCAAAGGAGTCACTATGTTAGCCACCCATATGGACAACTGTGGATTTTGAAATTCTGATAAGGGAGACTCAACTTGTATTTATTGTCCAGCAATTGATTCAGTGGATCTAATTTTCTGCAAGCAACTGAATTTAAGCCAAAGATGGGGAATCATAAAGGGACTGGAGGCCCCTGCACCAGCTAGAAGTCGTGTCATAGTTATGGCTGAAAAATACCCAATGGAAGAGGACATTGGGATTAAGGGTACACAAACCATCATGGTTTTTGTAATGGTTTGAATGCATTTGGGGGCCAAAAAAAACCTCAGCCATGTTTAATTTAGGGAAATGAGGTTTTGGGCTTACCAGTACATAATTGAAATTGGGGGCTTGAAAAATGTATCCCCATGGACTATTCTTTCCCCACCCTAATTTATTTATCTATTTTACTTTATTAAAATATTTAAATGCCATCCTATATCCAAAGATCCCAGGGCAATGTGCAGCAAATTCACTTTAAGGCAGTAACAATAATTTAGAAACACTAAACATAAATTAAATCATTTATCAATTAAAAACAAGGCAATTTAAAACAATTTAAAATAATGGTGACCATAGGGCATTCACAAATTGGATAAAATCAATCAACCCCCAGGATAACATCAGTGTTGGCAAGAATCAGGCTTTTTTTGAGGGGAGGGTGTTCTATAATTGGGGTGCCACAGCAGAAAAGGCCCTGGTTGCCTCTTTTTCTAATTTCAGCAAGGTACAACTAATACTACCATTGGCAGTGAACTAGACTCTCTTTGACCTTGTTGATGTGTCCCTTCAAATCGTTTCCCACTGATGGCGACCCTAAGATGAACCCATCATGGGATTTTCCTAGCAAGTTCCTTCAGAGGAGGTTTGCCATGGCCATCCTGGGAGGCTGAGAGAGTGTGACTTGCCCAAGGTCACCCAGTGGGTTTCTACGGCTGAACCAGGATTTGAACCCTGGTCTCCAGAGTCCCAGTCCAACACTAAAACCACTACACCATGCTGGCTCTCCTCTTTGACCTACCAGGTGTTTTTTTAAGATATCCCAGTGGTTCTAATATACATTAGTGTCCAGCCTTGCTAACACAAGAAATAGGACAAAGTATACATGTCTCAACACCCAGGCACTTCAGCTGGTGCAGTGACCTTAGGAAATCTGGTCCTGACATCCAAAGAATGTCCAGACTTGTCCTCAATGGATAAAGCTGCTTAAATCAACAGCTTAAATACACATGGGGGAAGGACTGCCACACTGCAGAATTAATGCCATTTAACACCACTTTAACTGCCATAGTTCAATGCTATGGAATTCTGGGATTTTAGTTTTATGAAATGTTTAGCCTTCACTGTTAGAGACATCTGGTGCCACAACAAACTGCAAAATCCCAAGATCCCATTAGATAGAGCCATGAGAGCTAAAATGGCATCAAACTGCAGCATGGCAGCAGCCAGAGAGAGAGGAAAAAAAAAACACTTAGGACTACAGTCACCTCTTCTTTTTTGTGGGGGATCCATTCCGGACTCCTCCATGAAAAAGGAAAAATGCAAAAATTCAAGCCCTATTGAAAATGTGTGTCTGCTGGGGCGCACCCTATTTTGTGCCCCTCCATTCGTTTCTCACGGATAAGCAAGGGTTGCGGACTTGAATTCCGCGAAAATGGAGGGACAACTGTACATTGTTCTAAAGCTGCAAGGGAGGGGAAGTAGAAATATTGAAACAGTATATATAGGTGGAAGAAAACAAACACAAATGATTACCTTCCAACGTTCCACAGATGAAAACTGGGACACATGGCCTATCAACATTTGCATGTGCTCAAGCTGAGGAAATGTTATTGATGAGGAAGAACACACAAGCTAGGAGAGGCTGCAGCAGTTTGCTTTTGCCTGAGCCTCCCGGGAAGGGCAAGACTCCCTCCCTTCTCTCCCTCTGGCTAAGTTAAATGAGTGCAAACTATTTTTGCGCTTTGAGCTCAGTTTGCATGATGGGGTGAGCTCCTGTCACTAGTCCCAGCTTCCGCCAACCTAGCAGTTAGAAAGCATGTAAAAGTGCAAGTAGATAAATTGGTACCACTTTGGTGGGAAGGTAAACAGCGTTCTATGCAATCATGATGGCCACATGATCACAGAGTAGTCTCTGACAATGCTGGCTCTTTGGCTTACTAACGGAGATGAGCACCACCCCCTACGTTCAGACATGACTTGACAACCTTGTCAACAGGGAATACCTTTACCTTTTACCTAAAAATAAAGGGGAATAGTGGGGGGAGGAGAGAGAAACTGGGATATTTTAAAAGCTGCTGAAAAAGTAGGGTGAGAAAGGGTTAATCAGGACTGTCCCTGCTGCATAGAGAGACATCCTGAGATGCATCTATCCCTTGTGTATTTTTATTCGGCACTAAGTGCCATTCAGTAATGCTCTAGATCAGCAGTTCCCAACCTGTGCTCCGAGGAGCCTGTAGAGCCCCACATGCACTTCTCGGGTGCTCCATTGCTGCTCCAAGAAAATGAAAGAAATAAAAATTGAATGAAATTAAAGAATAAGAAATAAAAAGTAGAATCAAAATAACAAAACCATTAATTTATAAGACATAGGGTAGGCCTCTTAAGGGCGGCACCATAGATATTGATTCTAAAAAGGGCTCCGCAAATCAAAAAAGTTGGGAACACCTGCTCTAGATCAATCCTACCATTAGGCAGCATGTGAGGAAAGTCATTAAGATGTAGCAAATGGTTACTGTTGTGTTTTTACTGTTACTATTTTTTTTACAGCCATGGATGGGAAAAAAATGATTGTGGGATTTTTCTGCTCTGTGTGTCAAAATAAGCAGGTTGACTTTAGTATTCTGGTACCTTGTTAGGTGGGAGAGAAGACTATTTGCTGTTCTGTCTCAGGGAGCAAAAGGTCTTGTACTGGATCTAATAATGATGAACATCTGTAAGTGTGTAGAATTACTCTTGAAAACTCTTGAAAAATTGCAACCAATATGGAATGGTCTTGCTGTGGTAAACTTTCATGGGTTGTCACAGAATCCCTTCATGGTTATTTGGATTTCAATAATCTGTTTAAAATATGTTTTTGCTAAGAGTGTGGAGAAGAAGCTGCATTTCTGAGTTTCTTCTCAATTTGGAAGCTTGTTTTAGAACACTGCAACTAAAATTACTCCCCCTACGCTCTCCCCCTGCTTTTTTCAGATATGACAACTCAACTGAAAGCTCAGCTTTTTGTTGGCTTCCTATGCCAAGCAGCCTGCTTCATGGTATATGGCTTCCCTGTTGAGTCTGGAACTGAGTTCCGCTCTGCTTTCTCAGTTGCTCGAACCAGCAGCATGGAAGGAAGCACTGAAATGGTGATCACCTTTGATAAAGTCTACGTGAACATCGGCGGTGACTTTGATCCCAAAGCTGGGTTATTTCGATGCCGTATACCTGGGGCCTATTACTTCTCCTTCACAGTTGGGAAATATCCCAAGAAAAATTTGTCAGTCATGCTGATGAGAAACAAGAATGAAGTGCAAGCAATTGTGTATGATGAACATCACCGTAAAGAGAGGAAAGTGGCTAGCCAGAGTGCCATGTTGCAGTTGGATTACGGTGACACAGTCTGGCTCCGTTTACATGGAGATCCCAAGTATGCCCTCTACAGCAATGTGGGCCCCTATACAACTTTCAATGGGTATCTTATCTATCCCGACACCTCAAGCTATTTTCAAAATACAGTGGTCTCCCAGGAATATGGGGAGCCTTCAGGGCCTCCTCCTCATGTCCTTCAGCAACTTTCCGTGAACCAGAATGAAGTCTCAGACAAACACCTGCTTTCTGACCAATCAAGCAGATCACAGGATCCTCGCTCAGCATTTTCTGCTGCTCGTTCTGAAAGCCTCCTGGGGTCAGATGAGAAGCAAATCCAGCATGAACCGATTACATTTGACACAGAATTTGTGAACATTGGGAAAGATTTCAACTTCTCAAGCGGCATCTTCACATGTCGTATTCCAGGCGCCTACTATTTCTCCTTCACCATTGGCAAGATGCCTTTCAAGACCATGTCAGTCAAACTGATGAAGAACCACAATGAGGTTCAAGCAATGATCTATGATGACAACCACTCCAAAAGGCGGGAGATGCAGAGTCAGAGCATTATGCTCCCCCTGCAATATGGTGATACTGTCTGGCTTTACAGCCACCAGCATGATGGCTATGGTGCCTATAGCAACCATGGAAAGTACATCACCTTCACTGGGTTCCTTATCTACCCTGAGACTAAGCCAAAACTACCACCAGATGCCAACCTGTCACCAGGATCAAGGCTCTAAATGTCAACGGAGAAAGAACATAAAAGAAGTTAAGATCAGCAGGCTCTGGTGCAGATCGTGGACAGATGCCACCCTTTACATGACAGTGTTAAGAGCATGCTATTGTATGTCCAGTGCATTCCTTATGCTGCACTTTTGTGTCCTGCCTGCAGAGCCATTGCTGTTTCTCCCATTCATCCATAGAATGACCTTTGCAGGGTAATGTGTGTGTTTGTGCATTATTGCTGTTTGATTAAAGCATTAAGCATGAGGTAGTTTGGGAAGTAGAAGACATAGGGGCAGTAAAAGGAAATGTGAATAAGAAAGTGTTATAATAATGCTGGGAGAGCGTATGGAAAAGTATACTTTCTCTCTCAGAAGCTGGTAATGGCAAAGCAAACTTCTTGAGAAGGAAACAAATGTGGTTGAACTCAAGGAACTCAAGAAAAGGAACTCAATAAATCCTAATACAAAAAGTACTGGATGGGCTGGTATGTTTGATGGTATGTGATTGTTATTTTATTAGGCTCTCCCAGTAAAGAGTAGCATGCTTTTTTAGATATGTCAGTGATGTTTAGCTGAGATTGTCTGCCTTTTTACAAAACACCAGCTCATTTAAATACATTTCCAAGTTGCCAAATCAATATAAATGTTGAAATAAGTATATGGTTAAAAAGGGGGGGGAACACTGCATACCATTAGTTGTCAAATGAAAATATCATCTTTAATTAATCCCATTATTTATTCCAGGCCTCAAAGAGTAACAAAAAACAAACAAGTATCCTGAAATCAGGGTGGAAATTATCCGGCCTTCCAGACCTTTGAGTTTATCACACAGGGGAAATCCCGTGCAAAAATGGGGCTTTAAATTAGAAATAAACCGCAAAAGCGGTCATGATTCCACACGACGTCACTGTTAAATTGATGTTAAAAGGAGGTTAATCCGAATGAAAACCCCTCATTTACGCTTCTTTTTACTTTCGGAAAAACCCGAAAGTAAAAATGAGGGGTTTTCGTTCAGATTAACATCCTTTTAACAGCGTTTTCACATTCCACACAGGGCAGAACGGGAGAAATCCCGTTCATTAAAAGCTTCCACTTTTGTGGCTTTTTTTCACTTTAAAGAGTGATATTGCCCGGGGCTCCCCATGTGATAAACTCCATTGTTGAACTACAACTCTCAGCAGCGCTAGCTGGTATAGCCAAGGGTAAGGAATTCTGACAGTAGCTGTCCAATGACATGGGGTGGGTTCCATGATTCCTACCCATGCCTTAAATAGTGCAGCAATTAAAATTGTCCCCCACACTGATTAATAAACAGTTTTAATGGATTGATCTGCCAATTAAACCTAATGGTGTCTGTGCATCTGTATCTGTGCAGGTGTTTATATCCCGTGTCACTGACAAATAGGAAAAATAACTGAATTTTTCTTCCTTCCAGCAGCAATTGCGGCCAAAATAGGTTGCTTCTTAGTAGCCTACACCCCCCCTACTACCCTTCCCCCAACCACTTAACAGCATTAACAGCACTGCCCCCTTCCCCAGCTTCCAGGGGGAAGTTTTGGATGCTGCACAAACAACTAGTGAATAGCTGCTTGTGTGGCATCCAAAGTGAGACACGCATATACATACGTCCAAGTTAAGCATGTATATATGACCAACAGGATTGCAGCTACTGGGTGACTGCAGAGCCAGTCTACAGCAGAGAGGTC